AAGAGGATTGAGGCAAAAGCTTCGCAAGGTTTCCAAGAATCGAAGAGAAAGGCTTAGAGTCGGCAATTAAGGTATGAGGAGTATTGCCTTCATTTTTTTCAATATGTGATTTAATGTATTTAAAGTTGATTTAAGGGTTTAAAGGGTTTGAGGCTAATTTGAGATAAAAGAAATTAGGCCTTCATGGCCAAAATATATTATTGAGGTTTTAACCGTATAGGGGTTTGAACTGATGGTCTGATAGGTTTGAGGTTGATTTGGGTTTGAGGGAAAGTAGGCCTTCATGGCCAAAATCTATTATTGAGGTTTTAACCGTATAGGAATTTGAACTGATGGTCTAATAGGTTTGAGGTTGATTTGGGTTTGAGGGAAAGTAGGCCTTCATGGCCATGGCCAAAATCTATTATTGAGGTTTTAACCGTATATGGATTTGAACTGATGGTATGATAGGTTTGAGGTAGATTTTAGAGTAAAGGAAATTAGGCCTTCGTGGCCAAAATTTGTTGTTGAGATTGTTTAATCCTCTAGGATAAGTGATTTGTGATAACTCTAATGACTGTGTGGTATTTGTAAGAAATTATGGGAATTAGAGGCGTAAATATTATACGGGATTGAACCTATATCCCTTAATTTTAAAGGTTTTAGGCATAATCTTAAAACAATGATTATATGGTTTAATTGTGTTAAAATTGTAAATTTATTTGAGATGATTACAGTGTTGAATGATTTGTAATTTTCTGAGAGTTTGGGTTTTTACGGAATCGAAATCGGAGGGCTGGAAGGCCTCTAACGGTGAAAAATACAGAAAATTGCATGTTGTCCGTCACGACTGTTCATGTTTTCAATCGAAATCGTTTTGGACGTAAATTTTGATCCGTAAGCCCGTTTTGGCCCCCGTTCAAAGTGTTGAAAAGCTAATGAACAGGGCTATAACATAGTATAGATAAGAGAATTGGTTTCCCAATATTTGTATATCTAATTATGTTTGAGAAGTCAATTGTGTATATGTTCTATTAATGAATCATGTTCTGGTTCAGTGATGTCTTGATGTTTTGATGCTGCGATTTTCCTGATGAATTATCATGATGGTAATTGTGATTTATATGTGATTAAATGAATGTATGATGAATTACTATGAGTATAGTTGTGATTCCTATGTGATTAATACATGATTGTATAATGAATTCCCATGAGTAATTGTTATGATTTATGATGTTGATTCCATGAGTTTTTGATGATTATATGATGACATGATTATTATGATGACTTTGATGAATGATGATGCACCTAATGAGTTTATTATGAGGATGATATTGACGTGTGCCTCATGCATTCATATGCATCCAGACTGAGATTTAGGATCTTGATTTCTTTGGCTTCAGTCCCATTGTGCGGATGTGAGGTATTTTGATGTGCTCCGGTTCTTGTATAGAATCGATCCTATTGATGGAGATCTATGGAGGATTGATGGCTCAGTGTCCATCGAGTTGTGATGATTGCTACCACATGCATGAGTCTTGTTGCATTTGCATTTATGTGACAATTTGGTGTAATTTATAATGTTGTGACCTTTGATGTTCCTTGATGATTATGATGATGTTGAATATGAAAATGCTCTTGTTTTATATATTGATTCATATATTGATTATTATGAATCGTTTTACTCACCCTTTCTGTTTGAATGTTGCCTCCACGTGGGTAACGTGCAGATGAGCAGGTTTAGCCGTGGATGCCATCGAGGATTTTTGAAGTTTGGGGTCGTTGGCCATCGTGGTTGACTTAGAGGGTCTTTCTCTAATAGTGTAACATCGGGTTGGAGTCTTTGAGTCAAACTATTTTATTGAATTCTTGTTATTTTGATTTCCTTGCGGTAAAAGGAAAACTTAGGATTTTTGCATTTTTGAGTTCCGCTGCCAATTGAGCACTTTTAAGTAATTTTGAGAAAAACCCGGAGCATTGACCTTGATTTAAATTTATTGATAAATGTACGCCCTTTGAGGTGATTTTTATGGTGTTTAAAATTTTACTCTGATAAATGTGAATATTTTGTCATAATATTTGTGGGGTAGAAAATGGTGTTACATTTAGGGTGCAAGCTAACCTAAATCTATAAATAGGGAGACACTCTTATTTTGTAAAAAATAAATCATAGCATTGTATTCATAGTTTGTAGTTGCAAGTGAATAAGAAAGTTCCACAGTTTGTGGGCAGAGAGAAACTTTGCGGATATTCATCCGTCTTCTTCTCCAACGTTATTTTTTTTCTTTCTTTCTCAATCTTTTTCATTGTTATTGCGTGATTGATAACAATCTTGAGATCAAAATTGAGTGAAATTCTCCATAGATTGTGGTTGAATCCCAATGTTTTATAGATCATTTTCCTCTGTAATCATTTGTTTAGTTCTTATATAATAGACTCATTCTATACTCAAGATTCATCAAAGACCATTTAAGGTGAACGTTCCTGGTTAGTGTGATCTTGTAATAGTAACTGACAATCGTACTTGATTTAGATATCCTATATCCTAATGCTCTCAATTAGCCATAAAAGTGTTATCCCTCGTTTCTTAATTCAAATATTCCATCTATATTAGTTTTTTTGGTTGACATGATCTACTTGAGTTACTTCAACCTAATCATATTCTATTGGACGAAGTACAATTTAAGAACAAACTTTATTGAATACATGCTACAACATGTCCTATTCTTGATGACTTAGACCAATAAATCGAACGTGTACATGACCCCTTAAACACGAGCCGTATAAGAGCAAAATATATTTCAATTTTTATCAAGTTCAACTTACTAATATAGTTTTTAGCTTAAATTTAACACGTTTAATACTTAAATCAAATCTAACAACTTATTGATGGGACTGAATGTCAAACTATATTTTTAAGTTGGTTGAACTTAAATGCTTTTAATGAGGTTATAGAGGTAACGAGTATTTGCTTTTGAACCATCCTATTGGAAACTTTTGTCCTATTTTTTAAAGATGTCCAATAGCAATCATTGATAGTAACCTGTGTCGACAAATTATTCTTAACGCCATGGGAAACATCATAACTACAACAACAATGAGATAAGATACTAGTGTCCCATTAATTTACAAATTATATTCCATGGCTGCTGGGAAGCTACCTCGAATGATTCTCTAACACTCCAACAAAGAACATTCCATCCACAGTTCCACACCCAAAAGCAATGTGGTAGGTCTGGTGGTGGGTCATATTACTATCATCCTATAAATTGTCAAACATTTTGTGCTACACACCTCCCACATTAATTAAACAATCATTTTATATTTCACCCAAAAATTATTTGTATTAAATATTTTAACTCATAAACGCAATTAATTATTCCATATTATTAAATTAAATGTCAATAATAAATAAATAAATAAATAAAAGTCCCTCGTTGTAGACAGTATCCTAGTACTATAGGATACTTTAGTTGAAAGTTTTAATAACAAAAAAAGAAAAAACATGTTGGACCACAAAAGTACAAACAAACCAGAGAAAGGAATCAAGATCCCAAGTTGACCAAGAAACACAATGAATAGTAGTAGTACTGTACATCTCATTGAGGTTCGCCGTTGGTGATTACAATCCCAAATTCTGATTCCGACGTAACCGAACCAAACTCCTGTTTCATTCATTTCATTACTCTCAATTTTTATATTTTTCTTTCTCTCTTTCAATCCATTCAAATTAACAAATATATATATATACACGTACAACCACCACAAAATAACACAGAAACATAAAACAAACAAGAAAATAAATAATTTCTCTCAAGGTGAGTCAATCCTAATTTCTCATCAAATACTATATATTCATCATTTTATTTACATTCAATTATTCATTCATATATAATATTTATTTTATTTTTATTTATTTCTACTCGTTAATTACTCGATCTAACTCGCTATTTTATTTTTATTTTTCAACTCTCCGGTTTAATTTTTCATGCGTTAATTCAATTTCGTTTTTATATTTTTGTTTTGCGATTTTAGAGTGTAATACTAATTCAATTCAACATTCAGATTCAAATTTTCTGAATTGCCGAATAACAATTTCAGGTATTTTGATTTTTGATTTTTGATTTTGTGATTTACTATACCAAGCTTCTTAAACAAGATTTCAGATTCTAAACGTGATTATTCACTGATAATAACTGCTTTTTTTCTTAATAGATTGGAATTTAGGGTTTGATTTTTCTAATCCACGTGATAGAATTTTGGGACTAACAATTACGTGCATTTTGTTTTTTTAGCTGAAATCGTGAAGGTTTTGAGAATCCTCTGTTAGCATTTTTATTTTTTAGCTGAATTTCTTTTTCTGATTTTTTTTGTGTGGCCATTTTCTGCTTATGAAGTTCTTGCTGCTACTCATTTAATTTAATTAATTACGTATTTATGCTTAATTGGAACATTAGGATTTCTTGCACTTGTGGATCTTGCTGCTACTGCATTTAACCAAAGTTTTAAATGATGGTCAAAGTCGCGTTGCAGTTGTGTAAATGCTTTAGCGATTTCCGTCTATACAAGTGTTGTGAGACTGATTGCGGTCGTCACAGTGTGATTTAACTACAATAACGTTCTTTTATAAAAACACAAGTACAAGTGTTGTGACACGGATTGCGGTAGTCACAGTATGAGTTAACCACAATAACGTTCTTTCATAAAAACACAATGTTCTTTCATATAAACACGTGAATAATAGTATCGATATTGACACCTACTGATACCGTTTTGTCGCGTCCGTTTTTGCGGTAACAGACTGTTGTTAAAAACCTTGCATTTAACTTATATAGCAATGCATTAAGAACCAGGGAAACTTATTATATTAGATACCTCACTTCCCAATTCCCATTTAGCTTATTGTAAATAAGTGAGGATTTATGCTATTGCTGTTATACTTGTCCAGAATATTGAGAATTACCTTAACATTGAAGTACCTTATTGCAGAAGGGAGGTTTTTCATCGGTTCGTTAAAGAAGATGGAAGTTTGCGCGCCTCTCAAATCCGATAGTAGATTAAAGCACCGTCGTTTGACTGTTCTTAGGTTTATAAGGGGTGTGATATGTTTGGTGGTGTTTCTTTCAACAGCTTTCATATGTTTAGTATATCTTTCGCCGCTTGCAGTCGTAGGATTGCGGCTTTTCAGTGTTCGTTATAGTAGGAAGGCGGTGTCATTCTTCTTTGGACTTTGGTTATCTATGTGGCCGTTTCTTTTTGAAAAGATAAACAAAACTAAAGTTGTGTTTTCTGGCGATAGTATTCCGATGAGGGAACGTGTGTTACTTATTGCCAATCACAGAACTGAGGTTGATTGGATGTACTTGTGGGATCTTGCGCTTCGTAAGGGAAGACTAGGGTTTATAAAATATATCCTTAAGAGTAGCTTAATGAAATTGCCGATTTTCGGTTGGGGATTTCAGATTCTGGAATTCATTGCAGTGGAGAGGAAGTGGGAGATAGATGAGAAAATATTGCAACAAAATCTTTCAACTTTTCAGGATCCCAAAGATCCTTTATGGCTATCGATTTTTCCTGAAGGAACCGATTATACGTACTACCTCAAATCCCTCTCACCTCGGATATCGTCTTTTCATTTCCAATTGTGATCATTATCATTGATAACATGATAAATTCATTTCCATACCATAAATCGTTTCATTTGACATATGATTTGCTTTTTGTCTTGTGTAGTGAAAAGAAGTGTAAAAGTAGTCAAAAGTTTGCTGCTGAAGTTGGGCTTCCTGTGCTGACGAATGTATTACTTCCAAAAACAAAGGGGTTTCACACTTGCTTGGAAGCTCTTCGAGGCTCATTGGACGCAGGTTTTTCTTACGAATCCTGTTCCTTTTATTTTCTATGTTACTCGTTCAATTCAGTGATAAGCTTACAAAAATGATAAGAGACGTCATTTTGCTATTTGTCTCAAAAAATAAAAGATCCAATTATTCAGCCAAGAGCAGGTGTCGGCTCGGTTTCTTATCTATTAAACATTTGTTAAACTTTTAAGAATGTTAAATTAAACTTTGTTTCTCGACCACATGCAGTATACGATGTGACAATTGCATACAAGAATCAGTGTCCTTCCTTTCTGGACAACGTTTTTGGTCTTGATCCTTCAGAAGTACACATGCATATTCGTCGTATTCCTGTAGATGAGATTCCAGTTTCAGAAACAAAAGCAGCATCTTGGCTAATGAATACATTCCAAATCAAGGACCAATTGCTCTCTGATTTCAAGATTCAAGGCCATTTCCCCAACCAACTTAATGAAGAGGGAATCTCTACATTCAAGTGCCTTCTCACTCTGACCTTGATAGTTTCTTTTACTGCCTTGTTTACATATTTTACGTTTTTTTCTCATATCGGCTTCAAGTTGTATGTAGGTCTATCTTGTGCATATCTTTCTATTGCAACGCGCTTCAAAATTCAATTGATGCCTTTAACAGATTATGTTCATGCATTCTATAACAACAAGAAACAAAAGAATGGATAGATAGATAGTGCTTTCAATTTAAAGGTCAAATGTACAATTTTGGCTTGAACTTGATATTGAAGTGTACATTATTTGCTTAGATTGATTCTTTTCATAGTGTTGTTTAGACAGTATCAGGAAATCAAATGTACAATATTACAAACTGGTATTCTGTTGGAAATTGGTTTTTGATAGAATTATGAGTGATGTTTTTTAGTAAAGAATGATTTGTGATACAAAGCACATGAATAATTATGTGTAAATTTATTAAAGGGTGGAACAACAATAAAATTTGCATCTGGCAGAAAATACATTGTTGATGAAAAAAAAGAAGACAAACAGGATTTGTTGAAATTGTGTTTTAGTAAAGACAAGCATTTCCGTTTCTTACTTCATGTTCATTGTAAATTGGAATTAGCAACTTTGGTTAGACTTAATTATGAGGATTCCCTTCTCGGTGTAAAGCTTGATCAAAAGATTGGTGAGACTAAAAATCTATGAAATGTTCTTGTTGATTTCACTATTTCCAACCTAGACCGGCCTAACGCCAAAAAAGGTTCGAGATCAACCTCACAAAATTGGTGGGTATGCGATCCCTTGTCAAAAAGCCACACACCAGGTCCGAACCACTTAATCACCACCAAACGTTGGATTTAATTCAACGATCTCCTGCACTCCACGTTTGGTCAATTGAGAGTGAATTTAATCGTCAATCACATATAAATTCGCCTACACACTGCAACAAGTACAATTTTATTTATTTTTGCAAAACATAACATATTTGACCTCATTGACTAAGACATTAGAGTGTTAACCTTGCAAGCACATCCTCACTCTATCATATCAGAGATCATGACAGTCGTATCAAAAAGCTTTGCATCAACATATCATCAACATTCTTTTTCACACTAGAATAATCCACTCTAGAATAGTGACACCGTATATGAAAATCATCATCTGATTCTCATGAATTTACATGTTAAATTCATTAGATCTTATATGTTGCATTGTCACAACCGCCCTATCAATCAATTAGATTGCCTATAATTTCCTCAACTAAGAATGGTAACATCCAAATTAACATGGATGACCTCTAGTCATAACGACAGTCTTGCGATTGGAGTTGAATTTTCACCGTGTTGCCATCTCTTATCGTCTCCTTGCTTACTAGAGGATTATCTTGTTTGAAAAAACGGATCAAGAGATATGCAAAGAGAATTTCCTCAGGATTGAAGACGAGTAATGAAAATGAGGAATAGAAAGACGAAAGATCAATCTTACGGTTTTGAGACAAAGAAAAGATGGACGGTGTCTCCACCAAAGCGCTTTCGTTGGTGATAACGACCAAAGTGGGAAATCATGTAGTACCAAAAATTTTGATTGATGGGAAAAGTTCATGCCATCATGTAAGCCGGTCTCTTTGAGGAACTCGAATTAGAAAAAAAAAGATTATCACCCTCCAAAGGCATAAATTTTTGAGGAAGAATATGGACTCGAATGGTCTAGAAGGGAGAGGGGTTTGAATAGACATTTTCCAAAAAGATCAAATTAACAATGTTTTCTTTTGAAATTAGTGTTCGAAAAAAAGCGCTTGGCATAGCAAAATTTTTGTATAAAATATAAGCTTTTAAATTAATCGTAATATAATCTTAACCAAAAACAAAATGAGCGATAATGAAAAGACTAAATTATTCAACGTTTCAAGTGATCAAAATTTGGTTTACACGAGATGTGTAAATCAAAACTCTTCAGTTGAACAAGAAATCTAATATTATAGTTTTCAGATTTAATCAAAAGTAAGAATGTTTAGGATCTCAATCTAATACATACCTAAATCTTATATACGAAATCACTCTAATGCGGTAAAGCCTAATATCATGTGATTAGAATAAACCACACACACACACACGCACGCACGCACGCACGCACGCACACACACACACACACACACACACACACACACACACACACACACAGAGAGAGAGAGAGAGAGAGAGAGAGAGAGAGAGAGAGAGAGAGAGAGAGAGAGAGAGAGAGAGAGAGAGAGAGAGAGAGAGAGAGATGTATCTCAAATACATTTTCTTGTGTGTTAGAAATGAGATAGGAGTCCTTTATTTATGAGACAAAGGGAGGCTAAAATATAGAAACAATCCATGGACGTTTCAATGCTTATAATCGATTATCGCAAGTGCATAATTGATTATGGCACTCCAAAATAGAAGGTTTTGATTTCTAGTTGTTGCCAACCAATAATGGACTTTTCTAATCGATTTTAGGATTAATAAAGTGATATAATTGACTATCTTTTAGGTATAATCGATTATCCCTTTGTAAAGCATACTAATTGATTAGATAGTTCCCTAACTAATTTGCTAGACTTTTAAAACATTTTAAAGTAGTTTTCATAAAAGAAGAGAGGATTTTAAAATGGTTAAAAGTGTGAGTGTGATTTGTGTTAGTAAAGTCGAGAGTTATTCTTATATTACAGACATTGATCGCTCAACACAGACAAATCAGCTTTCACACTTCTTCTCTTTTAAAAATTTCAAACTTTTAGCTCCTTGCCACATTATCTTTGACTTTTGTACCTAAATCGAACCTTGAATCTTATTCTTATGAGGCTTGAGATGACTCTTCAGGATAACCTTCATCATCATACAAACCACTTGATATGAGATTGCCTCTTAACATAAGGTGTTTCCTCCATAGACGGGCGCAAATAACTTGATATCCAAGCACAACAATCTTTATCATCACAACTTAATCAATCATAATTACTTGATCACCGTATTAGATGTTCTTCAGGCTTCATTTTGTTTAACACGTCTTAATCTTTAATCAACGTATCAAACACCATCACTCGATCCACATAACAAGCCTCGTTACTTAATCATCATATCGAACATCATCACTTGATCCACATATCAAGCACCATCACTTGACCAACATGTCAGACACCATCACTTGATCAACATATTAGATGATATCATTTAAACCAACAAACCTTGAACAATAAGACTAATAAAGACTTCTCGTAAGAGCGTTATCAACATTAAAACAAAATCATAGAGTTGATAAAGACTTCATACATGCAAACTTATAGATATACACTATCAAGAGATAATCTTGCCACATTTAGATTGTATGAGACCACACACATGTTGCGAGAGTAGAACACGAGAGTATATGTCTTATTTAAAAATGCAAGCACAAGAACATTAGGTGTCAATCACTTCTTCATATAAGAGAAGTTAGTAAATCCAAACATTGAAATTCTAGGGGTTATGGTGATCGTGGAAGACGTCACCGCCTTCTCCTCATGGGTAACATTTTGAAACATATACCGAGTCTGGAATCCTACCAATCGATCTCGTCGAGGCCAATCTCATATAAGTCATATCATGCTCGCATTTAATAATAGGAGGAACAATTTATAAGAGATACATCTATCCTTTTGTTGAAATCCCTCGGATAAGAGGAAGCCTCGTATGTGTTTATCGAGGTTTACAAGGGTATATCCAGACAACACCTATGAGGAATAAACCTCACTAAGAAAATTCTCAGGTTTGGATACTAATCACCATTAATGATTCTCGGGGTCGGGTACTAGTGGCCATCAAGATTTTCAAGGAGTATATTATTGAACCATGCAACCCATTTGGTGGTCGTCTCTAAGAAGGTTAGGAAGTACAACATGTGTTAAAATCCCGAAAAGTGCATGCATGGTGTTATGATTGAAAAGTTTTTGGGATACTATCTCATTGAGATGAGAATATAATTTAATCTAGACAAATGTCAAGCCATGATCAACATGGAAATCCCAAAGACCAAAAAGGGGATTCAACGACTAAACATATGTTAATTACTTTGTTGAGATTCATCTCCCAAAGCTTCCATTATGGCTCGTCGTTTCAAATTATTTCATCATGAAAACTATACTCAAAGAGTCAGACATACCCCATGATAAACATTATTTAAAGATGGATTATATAATGTCAAGGGAAGTGGATTCGATCTTCTTTTGGAGATATGCATTGATATGACTTTGGAGATTACAATAAGGTTTGAGTTCACAATATCCAACAATCAGGCGCAGTACAAGACATACTTAGCTAGACTACACATCTCCCTCGATATATTGTAAGTGATAGGGGAATATCAAGTCAAAGATAGACTTATGCGACAAATATCTGGAAAGCATAAACGCCATCATGGCTAAATTCAACAAGGAAGAAACTTTGTACATACCAAAGGAGCATATTTCAAAAGAGAACCTCCTGTCCAAATTAGTCGATTTCAAGGAAAGAGAATACAATAAAATTGTGATATATGGAAAACTTTCAACCCCATTATTAGTTGCAAAATGAATATTGTTAGGATAATTGATGAGGAAGCATGACCCAACAATTGGATAACGCTCATTACTAACTACATCACAACAGGAGAACTACTAGGTGATAAAAATGAGGCATCAAGAATTTAAAGAAGTGTGTGTTCATATTCAAAGTTTGAAGGTCATCTCTCCATACCGAGGCGTGTCAATCCTTTATTGAAATGTTTGACAAAGAAAGATGTGAAAGTTGTTTTTTGAAGAAAATCGACAAAGAGTGTTCAAGACAACATTTAAAAGACGGACCAGAGTCTTAACCTTGTATCCTCTACTATCTTTGTCTCACTCTATTTTTTGCGAGACAGACAAAATTTTATGTGATACCCTCTGCAACGATTGTCCAGTCCCCTTTTTTTTTCAAAATTTTTAAAAGTTGTTTTAAACCTAGCTTGACATATTCATTTGCCATTCCTCATCTTTGTCCTAGTATAAATATAAATTACACATTTTTTTAATATATTGAATATTTTAAAACAACACGTTTAATAATTAAAGTATCATTAAAACTACTTTCAAGGATATCAAATCAAATCATTATAAATCAGGTACAGCTCCGTACAAGGCAAGTTAAAAAACAAGTCCAAACAAGGCATGAAAGCTCGCAAGAAACAAAACAAGGCATGCAATCGTTGTGAATAAAAGACCCATCCCATCAAAAGATGACCCACATTTTTAAATTTCTCACACAAAGATAGTCTCTACATTTATTTAACCAATTTACTTAACCAAAGTTACTACTATAAATCAGTTCCATATTGCCCCACACTTTCAAGATTCAACCCCTCACTCTCATCTTTCTTTCACCCTAACTTCTCAACCGTCCTTCTTTCCTTTCAAATCATGGCTCTAAATTCAAACTCAAAACCCTTTCTTCTCTTCAACATGCTCTTCCTATTAGGTAAACAACATTATAACTTTCTTATTTTATAAATTATTTAACTTTTATTTTGTGTTTACATACTTTAAATAATTTATTTATGCAAGAGTACATATATTTCTTGCAGGTAATTTAGCATCTGCTGCTGTGTTTACCATACAAAACCAATGCAGTTACACAATTTGGCCGGGAACACTTTCCGGCAACGGCGCGGCCGTTCTCGGTAGAGGTGGTTTTTTGTTAGCCCCCGGTGCATCTGTTAACCTAACTGCACCGTCGGGCTGGTCCGGACGTTTTTGGGCTCGGACTGGTTGTAAATTTGACGGTGCAGGCAATGGACAATGTATCACTGGAAATTGCCCCGGTGGACTAAATTGCATAGGAGGAGGTACTCCACCAGTGACATTGGCGGAATTCACTATCGGATCAGCCGGCAACGGCGGTAAGGATTTCTACGACGTGAGTTTGGTGGACGGTTACAATGTGGGAATGGGCATATGGGCTAACGGAGGAACCGGTGACTGCCAATACGCGGGGTGTGTTACCGATTTGAATAGTAATTGTCCGACGGAACTTAGGGTGGGTGGCGGTGGTGGCTCCGGTTCGGTTGTGGCGTGTAAGAGCGCGTGTTTGGCATTTAATACGGAGGAATTCTGTTGCACCGGGGAACATTCGACGCCGGAGACATGTTCGCCGACACGTTATTCGGAGATATTTAAGAAAGCGTGTCCAACTGCTTACAGTTATGCTTATGATGATGCATCAAGCACTTGCACATGTTCTGGTTCTAGTTACCTTATCACGTTTTGCCCTAGAGGATCATCGTGATCAATAGTCTTGTTAGTGTGATAAATCTTTTTCTTTTCTTATGAAAAGTGTCACAAGTTTTTTACTATGAGTATGATTTCTTTGTATTTGATTGCTTGAATAATAGATTTTTCAAAAATGTTTAATGACAGTGTAAAAAAAAGTATTTTACATTAAGAAAATAATTGTTATAGATTGTTACTATAAAATATTTTACATATTTTATACCGTTAGTGTATCACCCTTATGATTTACAGTACAAAATTCTTTACAGTATTTTAATTTAATTCTTTATATTATTATTTAATAAAAATTTATCATTTTGTCATATTTATATAAATAATTAAAAAATTTCAATTTAAATTAACATTACGATAACAATTTTGTCTTATTTTTTTAATAAAAGCAAAATGAGATTTATTTATTGATATTAATAAAATAAAACAGAAAAAATAAGAGAATATTGATAAACCCAAAACTCTTTCAAAAATAATTTAAAGAGCTGCATAGCAAAGATTGAGCTTAAATCCAAAATGTCTAATTAGTCTTTTATCATTTCATTTAATTTATTATATCTACACATTTGACTCCTTTCAATTGAAGTACACATCCAAGCCCTCCTCTTTACTTTAGCATTCTTGTTTTATTTTAACTTTTATTGAGTAGTTGTAATTCAAAAATTTACAAAGTTTTCTATTGAGGAAGTTTAGTTATTAGTAAATCAACCAAGATAATCCACCTTTTGAAATAACATGGCTCAGTATTTACATTTGTAGCTCGTTGTTTTATTTTTTATTTATAAAAAAAAGAAGTTAAGATGAAGATATGGTGTACTCAATCAAAAATATTGAATAGGGTTCATTTAAACATATTTATATCTTTTAAAAGCACCGGCAAGAATTGAATCCAAAACTTTTGAATTAAATGAGCATCGACTTTGTTAATATAGTTTGTGAATGTATTAAAGGAATTTTCTACTTTGTTAATATAGTTTGTGAATGTATTAAAGAAATTTTCTATTTCATCTTATGTGGAAAAATATCCTATAAAAAATGAAAATATTTATTAAACTTTAGAGATGCATCTTTGAATGTATCATTATGACAAATTAAATAAGTGTCAATCTAAATTAAAACAAGAAATTATTTTGGAGATGCATCTCCGAATATTTTTAACAAATATATTAATATTTGAGCAGTCTAGAGGATATTTCGAAAATGCATCCACAAGGGTTTGTGGCGAGATTTTAAAATTTTTGTTATTTATGCATGTCAGATATTTCTGGAGATGCATTTCTAGAATAAATTGATAAAACACTCACCTGCATAATCAGACTCATACTTGTTTTCCACTCCAAACTCCTTTCAAAAACTCTTCCATTCTCAATCAATATTTTCACTCCAAATCTTCATTCTTGTGTTTCATCACGTCCATCATTTATATCAAATCTCATTGTTCACATTAAGCTTGTTTTTAGTTAGAAAAAAGTGTGTTTTATCGAGAGATACATCTTTGAATTCTATATGAACTTGTTTAAAGATGCATCTATGTAGGCTGTATGTTATCATTTTTTCAGCTTTGTTTATAGTATTAGCAGTTTTTGAGTGTTTTATAGTAATTGTTTTCATTAGATATGGTGCACCCCGATGTTTTTCCCAAACATGTTGTGTCTCAGGATGCTATGGGTGTTGTTGTGAAGGCGGTAAATATTGACAACCAATTTAAAAATGAGCAAGATTTTGAATTTTGTCATCACATGCTTCAATAGATTCGCATGGAGGCCTCCAAATTGAGATATGAAGTGGTAATCAAAAAGTATGATAATGGTTCTAACAGAAAAGATGCATTTATGACAATGACACGCGAAAAAGTGGAAAATATAAACCTTATCTACGAAATTTTAAAATAGATGACACCAGTTTAAGAAAATGTGAGTGTCCTTTTAAGTTGTGTGGTTATATGTTGGCAAATAAGAAATGGAGATTTAACGTCATATATGGTTTACATAACCATGACTTGTGTGAAAAGTTAGTCGGTCATCCAATTGAGTGCCGCCTCATGCGAGAAGATAAGGAATGTGTTTCAGACATGACATTGAATTTGGTTCAACCAAAAAACATACTTTCAATTTTGAAACTTAAAAAACCCGAAAATATCTCAAATATCAAGCAAGTGTACAATATTCAATACCAAAATAACAAGGCTCTAAAGGGGAATAGAAGTGAAATGCAACAACTATAGTAAAAGCGATTTGTGTAGAGATTAAGACTCTGTGAACCAAATGATACAAAACCAGCATAATGAGACACAAACATCATTTGGTCGAAGCATTACAGTTTTGGAATACAGATTTAAAGACAACAATCTTTATTCTCAGTTAGTCGACAACATATCTCGAACAGGTTTGAATTATATTTTTCACAATGCTGAATGAGCTGGTAATGTAGGTTCTGATAGCGCAAAGTGTGGTTGCACAATTGTGAAAACTTATGGTCTCCCATGTGCTTGTCTTATAGCAAAGAATGTGAAACTTGGTAGACAATTAAGAATGAATGAAGTTTGCAATCATTGGAAAAGGCATAGGTTTGATGATGATGGTGTCATGAAAGAGGTTAAATCGAATATCTCTATCTTGACCGAATGAGAAGTGATACAATAGCGATTTTTGAAAGTTGGTGATAATATGAAACTCCACACAAAAGAACAACTGAGGAAGATTGCTTATTTGAAACCATTGAATTGAAACCAACCTCTTATCCAGCATAAACAAAAGGTGCTCCAAAAAAGGTCAAGCCTACATCGAGTGGGAATTCAACGGTGTGATCTCCTTCTTATTTTGAACATGTTGACAAAGTTTTTTCGGACTCACCAACTCCATAATCTCAAAAAAATGTTTTTAAAGGAGCTCGCATTAGCAAACCAACTCCTTCACCACTTCCATCGAAAATTTCATTCATCGACAAGATGTCAGTTTTTATGCACAAATACATCGAACAGATCGTCAATATTGAGGGTGATGGTAATTGCGATTATTGTGCTATTTCGGCTTTACTCGATAAAGGAAAAGATAATCACACACTTGTTTGTCATTAACTTATTCATGAGTTGAGGACCTATTTAGAATCATATATACGACTTTACAGAAAGAAAGAAAAATTTGATGCAATTTATGAGTCTCGTGTTCCTTGCATTAGTGAACTGACACCAGAGAAAAAAATGGATGTGCATCTCTGAAAAGGGTCATCTCATAGCAAATATGTATGATCGAGTGTGTATTGATCTTACAAGATACAGTTTTTTGAAAACCTTTTCCCATTGTGCACTGCCCCACCTCAAAATCCAAATGATCGTATTATACGTATTTGATGGCTTTAAATATCACGACACTTTGTTTAAGTTTATTTGAAATCGAGATGTCATATATCCCTTAGATAAGTGGAGTGAACAATTCGTTCAACAACAAAAGTCGAGACTTGGCGGGACAAATTTGTAGAAATGATGCAAGAGTTTCGTCAAATTAAGCAACATTGAAAGAGAATCAAATGCACAAAAGTCAAAAGGGATACCACTCATACTTATAAATTTAGCTGGCGACAAATCTTTCGATTCATTTTAGTTTTTCGTCATCAATTAAATGTATGTAATTATGTTTTAATATTAATGTAGTGTAATATATACAATTTCAAATATTTAATACATTTTGATGTTTGTCAAAAAATTTGTTCATTTGCCAAATAAAACACACAGGTTCTGTTTTCTGCCTAGTTCAGGAGAGATTTTGGAGATGTATCTCCAGAATCATATGATAGGGTGGTATTAGAAATGTATCTCCAAAATCAACACTGATACATGATAGAATTTTTTAGCTTCACATTTATCTACAACTTCTATAAATTTAAGCTCTTATTTTTTATTTCATACAAACAGGAACTATCACAAATAGACATCATTTTGTATGTCGCAAATGTCTCCTTCTCCAACGAGACACCTGTACAAAAATTTAAGATCAATAAGTACACCTCTTTTGCATATCTGCAATACGAAGTGCATAACTTTTTACGTTATAGAGATAATCGAAAAATTGTGAAGTTTGAGTACCATGTACCATCAATTAACAACGAATGCAAGATTGAGTTCAACAACTATGAGCTCAAAACGGATGCAGATGTAAGAGCTATGTGGAATACATTTTCCTGTTTCAAAAGAAAATATTTGATCGAGTTGGACAATTTCAAGACCAGTCGAAGATATTATGAAGATGTTAAAGTGTTCATCTGGATAATGAAATGTAATGTTTGATTTTATATTAACATCATCTATATAATGCTAACTTTAAGTTATGTACGATAATTTTATTTTGTCAAAATAAAATTTTATGATTTTCTTTTTATGTTTTTATTTCACAATGTTACTAAGATGTATCTACATGGAGATTCTGGAGATGCGTCTTCGATTTAAAAAAATGCACACTCTTAAGATCATTCAAAATTGACTTAGGTTTTTATTTCTATTTCACAATGTTACTGAGATGCATCTATATACAGATTTCAAATTACAAATTCTGAAAATGCATCTTTGATTAAAAAAAAGACACTCCTAAAATCACTCAAAATTGACTTAGACTGTGTGTTTAGAAAGTGTCCAAAAACTATCTCCAAAATCTAATAACATTTTAATATTTTCACATGATACTCTAATAATACTAATAATATATAAAGTTCATTAAAAAAATCTCATTTGTAATAAATATATCCGTATCTCATTTTTTATTGTAATAAATATATCCACGGCCGCATTCCATTAAGACAGGAACCACTAACCATAACATAATTGTCTTTGCATGCTCATTTTTTAAAGAGAGAAAAAATCACATTACAAAAGACACAAACCGTGGTTTGTGTGGTTTGATTTGTTTCTTTCTCGTCTCTTGATAATGTTCCTTCCTTCTCTCTATAAGTGTTTACTCTTAAGAAAATTGTTAACAAATAGTTTTGTTGTAGTTGGTTGTGTGTGAATTCTGAATACTACTGAAAAGAAAAATACACATCTCATTATTTTTGTAACCTCTTTCTCCTAATTCACACATATCTAGTAAAATAAGTGTAAGATTTTAATTTCAATTCTTGTTAAACAGCACAGTAACATTCTCTTTTTTGAGAGTCTTTATAACTTTATAAAGCAACAGTTCATCACAAATTCAATAGTAAGAAAAAGCCCTTTGTACCCAACAGAAGACCAGATCAAAACATAAACCAAATGAAAATAAAATAAACATGGAACAAAAGGAAAATAAGAAAAATGTCAATATATACAGTTAAAGGATTGAAGCATAGAAATATTTCTTTCCTCTTTTCTTTTCTTTTCTTTTTTTTTCCTTCCCTTAATTTACCACCAACTTCCAAATACTCCTACTTTTCTCTACAAAAGGCTCTCTTTGAAAGCCCAATAAGTAACCTCCTCATCCCAATTTTTGGTTGAGTGAGCAATCCCTAAATCTAAGATTGATGTATGCCACCAAATTCCCCCTATAATTACTCTGAAAACTACAACCCAACCCTCCTTGCTAAAAAAGAGAGAGAGAAAAATTGAAGCTAAAGCTGCCTGTTTCTTACAAATATTTCATTTGAGGAACTATTTCTCAAAGAAAAACTGCTTCTCAATCGATTAAACCATGACAATTTCATCTCACCAGAACCGGTACACTGACCCTCCCCCTCCTCCTTGCTGAAAAGAGTTTGGTCCCTGCAGTCCAGTGAAACTCCACACGCTAAATTATACGATTGACATGCAGAATGACATACTCGTAGCCTGTTGTCTCCGTCACACTTCTGGATTGAGATCTGAAAGTTAAGTACCAAGCTTTTCAGACATATAAGCAACATTATCCACTTATGCTCCAATTTCTAGATGTTACCAAGCATGCACTCAACTCTGAGGTTTTCGTAAACAATCAGTACACATCCCCTCTATTTTGTAAAAGACATCAGGCCTCTTCTTAATTATACAAAATGGAGGAAGGTCATTAACAAAAAACTGATGACAGGTGTGCACAATTTCAACAAATTACGGGCAAGTGTTCTTTGGTGTATGCTAAGTGAAAAATACGATAAATATACTAAAAAGAAATATCAAAAAGATAAATTTGACATGGAAAGATAAGATTTACCCAGCAAGCAAGCCGTTTAGCTGCCTCATCACAGTAGGAGCTGCCAAATATATTAAATAATTTTCTAGCACCACCAGGGAACAATCGGTGGTAGTTGGGCATGACAACCACTTCTTCCAGCTGCTGCAGTATGCTAGGTTCTCTGGGTGCACAATGCTGCCCAGAAATGTCATTTCCTAGCACATTTTTGCAAACTGAGAGAGTTGAGAGGAGCGTGGAGCTGTTCTGGCAGGTGTATTTCCCATAGTCAGAACAGCGGAATTCGCAAGTTCCATTATCACAAACCCCGCCATGAAGACTGCATTGCTCATCACAAACAGCTGCGTGTGGCAACAGAATTCAGAACAAACCAATAGATTATGATCAGAACTAGTGTTATTTATAACTACCGTATATTTTATAAGTATAACGCAAAGGTAAGAAACTAAACTCCCTCCTAGCAGGAACCCACAAAGAAAGTAAAAACACAAATTAATGGGGGAAGATCAGGACCAATAAATGGACCCATAAATGTATAATTTATATAAATAGTATTTCAAGGAACACACAGTTTAGAATAAAACTTTACCGGTGGAACAGTCAATGCCAGTATAACCAGGTTTACATTCACATATTCCATTGTTGAGACACAATCCATTGCCTGTGCAATTACTGGGGCAGGAACCTGGAATAAGTTATGAGAACACAACAATTAAAGGAAGGCTGAAAACCAGAAAAACTGAAGCAAAATGAACTCTGAAGTTAAAATATAGTGTGGAATAACAGAACTCACGTCTACTGCAATCGTGGCCATGAAATCCAAGAAAGCAGTGGCAACTTCCATCAACGCAATCTCCATTAAAATTACATGCATTGGGACATTTTCTCGAGTCAACCACTGTGTCTGTGTTACAGAGCTCATGATATGCAGGACAGATCAATGCACCTATTGAAAACATTAAAAACGAGTAAGCTTTCCATTAATAGGAAATTTAACTTCAATGTGAAAATAAACAAAATAACATATACTGACCATTAAAGCCAGCAAACTGAATGGATCCGCCAGCCTGAGGACACACTCTCCACATACCATCCACAGCGACCTGTATGTAGCACAGAGCTTCATTCAGCCATTTTTATGATAGACGAAAAACAAGAGGTGTAATAAACAATTCAAATCTAGACTAAAGAAACCTACCAATTCAAAGTTGTATCATACACACATTTATTTAACTCGTGTAGGACATGGTTGTTTAAGCTCTAAAAGGAGGTAATCTTAAGGTTGTGTAACGAAACATTTTTCAGAAATTTTATGTAAGGCAGTTGTTTTTGTTTGCTTACAGTTAAAAAATGGATTTTCGTTTTACAGAGTAGAGAAAATTTTACAGCTTTTTGAAAAGGAAAAACAAAATAGCTTTTCAAAATAATTAAAATTTTATCTTTTACAGATTGTGATTATTTTTCAAAAACATATACATACACGCTAGAAATGTTCAAAAGTGATTGAAAACAAAGCTTGAAAAAATGCTTTATATATAAACTTGTTTCCTGCTTAGTTTCAATTAAGTTCAATTTTAATTCATCAGTGTCAAATTGCAATTACTGTTCCATGAGACTGTCATTCAATCACAAACTATGAGAAAGAATTGTGTCATGCTCCATGCCAGCCGAAAAAAAGCAGTTCCCGTCAAAAGCGACTTTGGTAAAAAGAGGACCAAAAGTTTTATCAAGCATATATACAGTCTATTGTATGTACATTTACTATTAAAGAAATAAGTGAAGGTCACTCTAGATATTCTAATCATCAAATAAAAAAAAGGCAACCTGTGAATTACAGGAATAAAATAATATAAAGCATCTTGGAAATAGAAAGATTTCACTTATATTGACAATCTAAATCTAAACTATACCTCTAAAGTGTTGTTGATACACCTGTGCTGATAACAACCATTTCCTTGGGTCATAGAACCTCGTACAAATCCCGTGCGCACTAATGATGAGGCCATACACCTGCAGTGAATGGGAATAGTAAGCAATTCTACACCTTCATGTTTTATGTAAAACATAAAACACAGAATAGATTATAAGTAGGAAGTCACACTGTCACAAACTGACCTAGAGTTGCTTCCTCGGACTTCACCTAGCATTCTATCAGGTGCCCGTGCACTGTTAGTGTCTGTACATGATCCATCAGAGTATGCAACAAAATAAGTGCAATAATCAGCCAATGAAGACTGTCCACCTGAAAAAACCAGGGAAAGGTGAAATTTCAATACGAACCCATCATATAGCATTAAGAATCATTAACAAAAACATCGACAAGAAAAATCAACTGTCTGTGGTTATCCAATACTATAAGCAGCTACAAACCAACCAGAGCGCAAAAGCATAGAAACCGCAAATACTTGACAGTCAAACATCATTATAACAAAGAATCTGGTCGAAGCAATATTAGCATTGCCTTAAATTTGGGAAACGAAGGCATGAAATGAAACACACACCTTTATTAGCTTGTTGAAAATACTGAGCCCACTGAGGAAGGTCTCCGCTATAAGTTAGAATGGGACAGTAACCCTCTGCCTCTCTGTTATACGTACAACCTGAAATCCGTGTTGAGTTGCAATGATAGGCTCCCTTCCAGAGATTGCAAGGGGAGGTAACAAACTCAGTACCTTGGTTGCGACCCCAATCAAGACGGTCTGCCATGCTATAATTAGCTTTGTACCATCCGCTGTCTTCTAAGAGAGCTAGTGTCATTTTTGAAACAACGGATCTTGTATCCACAGAACCAGTCATGATCTCATTCATCAGAAGCCTTTTTTCCCAATGAGACCCTATAAGCCAAGTAACAAACTCAGTTTGTTCATTAAGCTGGTTGGTAGCAAAAGTACATGATTTCCATTTTGCTTAATGCTTATAAATTTAAACAATCGAACTTATATAATGCATACTTTATAAACATGATAATGCAACAGTGGATTCACTGGTCTTACTACAAGTACTGGTTGGACCTGAGCACTACAACATTATCATTACAATTTACAAATAAATATAAAAAGTTGGATAGAGGGATTTTGGGTTGCATGTAGTGTCAACGATGGCGGAAAGCATAAAATTCTTCATATGGCACTGCCATATCTGCCATAAAACGTCATGGCACCGCCATCCTTCACAAATTGACCATGGTGATTGTCAAAAAAACAACCACTGCCATGGCTGATATTTGACAACACAGGTTGCATGCTAAAGTAAGATTTGTGAAGTAAAGGAACTGCAAATACTGTTTACCAATGTAATAGAGTCTAATAGCAAGGGACATAAAAAAAAAACAGAGAGGAAGAAATTTTAAATAAGAGAGAAAAAATTATGAAATTAAAAACCTGATGTTCCACGTCCTCCACCATCTTCCAGCTCTAAACCAGTAAAATTTTCTGAGAACGCCTGCCAATTAATCGTTCATCAATCATTTGTTGAAGCTTCTGACAAAGGACGTGGTCAATATGAAAATGAAAAAATATGACACTGAAATTATACAGTAAATGTTCCAAAAGAAATACCGCATAATGATGTCGTGAATGCATGACAACACGTGGAAGCACCACACGCGTTACTATTCGTCCAATCTTTTCATCCATCACTTGTTCAGTAACCTGCAAAGATGTGAAATGATGAGCTACCAAAATGTGAGGACATAGATGCCCGAAAGAGAGATTAAAACGAAAAGTTTTCAATAATACATACTGTGAAGGTAACCTGCAAAGATGTGAAATGATGAGCTACCAAAATGTGAGGACATAGATGCCCGAAAGAGAGATTAAAACGAAAAGTTTTCAATAATACATACTGTGAAGGTAAACACAGAATAGTTTTTTTAAAAATAGGACAAGATATAATATAAATGTGCCACTCAGTTAAATGCTTGGAAATTTTGCAATGTTTTCCTAAATGTCCTGCATTTTTATATTCCTTAAACACAAGTCTAAGTAATTCTATACAAACACCATTCACCAGAATCATCAATGTTAGCCTCCATAAATACAAACAGGAATTGTTTTAAACTTTCTTGTATTTCAAACTTCTCCAATAAAGTGACCTATAATGAGAACAACAAGAACAACAAGCTCTTATATCTGAATAAGAGACAAGTAGTCATGAAAGAAAGAATGCTTAAAAGCAAAAGGCTTAAGCTTATGACTTAATGTCACAAGAATATCTGACCATCCATTGTAAGAAAAAGGAATCTTACAACAAGAAAGACATCCCTTACCTTATTACGACGTCTTCTCCTTTCATCTCTAAAATGAGTGAAGGCATGAGGATCGAAACCAAGAACATGTATAACCTGAAAAGGATTACATATGATGAAACATAGCCGCCCATGTTTCCAGTCTCAATTCCTTTATACACAAACAAAACTAACCTCATGTATCAAAGTAGCTGATAGCAAAGTCTCTGCCTCAGCTGTCAAATGACGAGGAGCAACATTAACATGTCCTGCACACACATAAATAAATGAATTAATGAAGTATTCCAAATGCTAGATAAAGAAAAATATTTTAAGCAACACATTTACAGAATAACCCACCAGCTATAGCACGACCCCATTGATCTCGTTCACATGCTACTGCCCAAGCAAGTGTATTCCCAGTAGTAGGTCTTGTAGTCACCAAAAGAACTAAGTCGGCATCAGAGACTCCCTCTGACAAAGTGGTCAATAAAGCAGTTACAGCTCTGGCCATATATTTTGTTAAGAACAACATATTCCACAAAAGGTATGTAACAAATGAATGATACCTTCAAGATATCCACGAGGAAGCTGCACACCTCCGTCTTGTCCACAGGCAGAATATCCACTCAATCGCAAGTTCCCCTTGACAGGCTCAACAGCCAATGCTCGCCTAAACCAGTCAGCTGTCTGACCTAAAGCCTACATTAAGTTTTTATCAACGGTAAATATCTCTATGCCCCCTTTAGGAAAATAGTAATATTGTAATTACAATTATAGTAACAAACACCAAGTCATGAGAGAAATATAAAGCTGGCACAAATCATACACTATTACATAAAAGTAAAATTATTAGCCTAATCAAGTGGAGCCTTGATGCGCAATAATTGGAAATGTCTCCACGGACTCAAAATTTATAGGTTTGTGCCATGGAACCAAACCTATTGCAAGTATAAGGTAAACTACCTACCTACAATAGACCCGCATTACATATGAAGTCTAAATGGATTCAACACATAGCTTGATCTTTATAGTACCATGTAGCCTTGTTTACATGATTGACCTAATGAAACAAATCAAAATGAGAGGGAGGGCTAAAACTAATTAACCTTGCGAAGGCGGTGCTTTTTATCCTCTCCTGATATATCTTCAGAAGTGCAGTTATACCAACAATCACCGAAGATTGGAGGATTAGAAAGAGGATTGCAAGAGGGCAAGCCATGAATAGCATTAATCGGAGGCTCCCCGAGCTGTTCAGATAAGATTGATGATTAATTATATTACGTAGATGTGAATAAGAAAAACAATGTTGGTAAGACATAAAACCTCCAGATTCTTTTTCCATTTATACTAAACACTCACCTTAACAATGTCCCCAACTTTTTGACAATCCCTGTCAGGGGAGTGGCCAACAGCGTCATAATTTAGATATATCCTAATAGGTTGCTTTTCATCCTTTTGGGGCTTTGATGATGTTGATAATACACCAAGTAACGCCCTGCCTCTATGCTGAAGGGATTTCAATTGACCAGGTTCATAAACTTGTGGGGTAACTGAATACACCTTGTGACCAGGTCGCTTTCTCTGTTCAAGTATCTGGTCATGTATGCAAGAGTGTGAAGCAATTTTCTCAACCCTCTCTTCCACTCCTCCCCATTGAAATTGTCGCTCTTGGGTCTTTGCATCATTAATTTCCAACCACGCCAGTATCAATACAATCTGAAGCAATATTTAACAATAAATATCAAACTTAATTAGCAAAACTATCTATTTATACTATTATATGCAATGCACTATCATACAAAATGCAAAATTAACATACAAAGCTTCTCAAATTACGCTTTCAATAATGAAAGGATTTCTAAACAGAAACTTCTTAGTTTGAATCCCATACACTCAACCAAACTTGCGAAAGAAGCTGTGAAATCCATAATCGTTATAATTAATATTTTCCTTTTTCTAGTTACAGTAAAATCTTAAGGATTAAGGATTTTACAATCATCAATCATCAGCTACACATAAAAAAGAAAGAAAAAAAAGTATACACTCAAAAATAGAATGTTCAAGCATTTGAAGCTCTTTTCAAAACTGGTTTTACAATCATCAGCTACAAATTAGAATCTAAACAAGCATTCATTAATCAGATTATTCAGTAAAAAAATAAAATCCGAATCCCTAAAAGCTAGAACAACGTTGAACTAGCAAAATAACAAACTAAATAAATAAATAAACTAAACAGAAAGTGTTGAAGTAGCAATTTTATACCTCAAAAACGACTATGGCGAATCGAAGCTTAAAAAGAAATCTGAAGAGCGTCGGCATGCATGAACTAAAGCGAACAACGAACTCCATGAAACGACGAAGGCTGAGAAACTAACGGCGGTGATTCCATCAAACCGCCGGCGAGTTTCCGATCGGTTTCGGAATCCGATGCATTACGGTTACAACGTCGTAACGGAAAACAGTTAAGTTTGAAATTTGAAAGAATGAAGAATGTTTCAAAGATAGAAGAAGTGAAGAAGAAGAAGAGAATTAAGAAACTTAAAGATTAGTTAATTAAGTGATTAACGAAGGATTATAATAAAGTAAGAAGTTGAAATAGTTGAAGCTTGGTTGTTAATCTTACTAATCTCTTTTTTTGTGTTGTTAAACTAAAATGGGGAAAAATAAGATAGCGACGGAAAGAGAAGGAAGAAAGAGAGGAAGGTGAGTGAGAACTATATAATAATTGGGTACAGAGTGGTTGGATTTTATGTTTTCTATCACTATATATGCTTCTTTTTCTGGTTACAGAATTTCTAGATTAAATGTGTTTTTATTTTTTGGAATATAAAGCTTCAGGCTTTATATATTTGGTAACAATTAATACCTCACTTTTTTATTTTGACGAAATGCACAATTTCAGATTTTAATACATATATATTTTATTAATTAATATATGGGTAATGCTAACTTATACTTTAAAAATATAAATTATGAAATAAATATAATAAATATTTATTAAAAATTGTGTATTAAAATTAATATAAAATTATATTAATAAATTTATTATTTCTTTTATACAAATTTTTTATTTATAGATTTTTTAACATGTATCCTTGAAACATAAATTAGCATTACTCTTAATATATTTATATATTATATAATATTTCTTTTATTCTTGTATTTTAATTTCAATATTTATTTTAGTCTCTTAATTTAAAAAAATATTGATCTTATATATATATATATATATATATATATATATATATATATATATATATATATATATATATATATATATATATATATATATATATATATATATATATATATATATATATATATATATATATATATATATATATTATACAGTCATTAAAAATTAGAATTGTTTATTTTAGACAAGTCTTCTCCATTAAGATTTTTTTACATGCCTCATATATATATATATATATATATATATATATATATATATATATATATATATATATATATATATATATATATATATATATATATATACTCTTAATTTAATATTTTTAATTTATAATAAAAATATTATTCTCCTCTTCTACTTCTATATTTATCATTCTCTTTATAAATTGAGTCGATATATATTTTGAGACATACCGTAAGAATAAGAAATGCTATAACTATATACATAATCTTTAAAATAAAATAAAAACATTCAAAAATACGTAGAACAGTGTGTTATTAAAGGCATTAATAAACTTGTAATTTTTGTAGATCTATTTAAATGTGGACGACCCTAAAATATAATAAAAGATTAAAGTCCTTCTATTTTTGAAATGAACTAAAAGTGAAAACTCAAAAGTGACATTCCTCCTTATTCCATTATTCTTTTCTTTTTCTTCCTTTATTTTTTTTTTCTTCAACTCTTAATAAAGTGACTTTTCTTCTATCCCACATACCAGTACTTCTCCATAGGATGGAGTAACGTAAACTAGGGTTCTTAACTTATTGTTCTTTCTTGCCTTGGTGGGAAGATAGGATAAGACAAAGTAAATAAAGGATGACCCATTTACCAAAACCTAACCACCACCTCTCCAAATTTAATTTTCACTCATGGCCAACAATATTTTCTTTTTAAGAAAAATGCAGATGATTTAGATTTTGAGATTCATAAAATTTAGCATGAGTCAATTCTTTATTAATCGAGTCAACTTTCACATATAATTTAAATTTTCGATTTTGAATTCAATATCAGAGTTCAACTTAATAATATATACTTACAAGTTAAGTTAAGATTTTCAAACTATTTCTATTTGAAACATAAACATAAATTTAAAAAAAAAATACTAAACTTGGAAAGGAAATCAAATAGTAGTAAAAATGGATGCTAACTTAATTAGGATACATGTATAATGTAAACAATGCTAATTTGAATCCTACAAACTAGGCAAGTTATTTAAATTCAATTACAAGCAAAACACCAAAATCATAGGCATTCTTGATGAGGACCACTTCAACAAAAATGGGTTAATTAGGTTTTGTATTTAGGTAACTTACAACACAAGCTTTCTATTTTTTTTTTAATTTGACCACCCAACCTACTTGTGTTAACTGTTAACCACTAAACTAGATATAATTATATAACTAATATAATTAATTATGTTTAATATGTTTTGTGGCCGTATTAGTTATGTTCACGGATTTATATTAGGTCAACAACGTTAATTAATGATTAGGAATTTGGTTACAGCTCATCCACCTAGCTACTACTTGTTTATCACCAACTAGCACAAATATTTTAATCATAGACATGAACTAATTAGGATTAATGAACCGTTTTTAGAGTCATGTTAGCATAATTTTGCGTAGATTTGTCCACAACCACTTTTAGTTTTATGGTCCACTTAGCTACCTATAATTTACTTATTGCATTTTTATTTCGATTTTTTTATGTTATTTTGCATTACTCCTTAACTAGAGTTTGAATTTTCTATTATAAAAACAATTGGGTCATCAAGCTACTTAACTCTAAAATTTAATCTCTTTGAATGTTGGTTAATATCTCTAAAAAATTTAATCTCTTTGAATGTTGGTTACTCTCTCTCAAATTAATTTACAATAAATTACTTATTTGTGTAATTTAAGAAATTGTATCCCATATCCTATCATTTATTCTACTACCTCTACATTATTTATTTTTTTACTAAAATATCTTCTTATAAATAATTTACTAAAAATTTATTACCGGAACTATTTTGCAAAATTTTCCAATATATAAAAATTAACTACCAAACTCATTTGTAAAGTCTTCTAGTACACAAAAATTGAGTATCAGAACTTTTTTACAAAAGTTTATAAAGTACACAAAATCTTTTGATACACAATTTTTTTAAAAAAAGTTTTAAAAAAATGACTACCGAAACTCTTTTGCAAAGTTTTCCGATACACAAAAATTGATTACCGGAACTCTTTTGCAAAATCTTCCGGTACACACAAAAAAGATTTTAAAATACTTGAAAAATGACTACCGAAACTCTTTTGTAAAGTCTTTTGGTACCTAAAATAAAATTTTAAAAAAAATATAATAAATTTAAATAATAAATTAGTTAAAAATATACAAGGGCAATTTAAAATACTTGAAAAATGACTACCGAAACTCTTTTGTAAAGTCTTCTGGTACCTAAAATAAAATTTTTAAAAAAATATAATAAATTTAAATAATAAATTAGTTAAAAATATACAAGGGCAAAATTGGTATTTTTTTATAAGGTGTAGGGATATAGGAATAAAGGTAAGAGTATGAGGTAAAATTTTCTGATAAATATACAGTTAAATTTAGGGTGATAAAATAGGTTAGACTTGTCGGATCAGCCTGTTTAATCCATCATTTATGACGACCAGACAATGTTTTAGGCTAGGTGTCTTAAGTTGACTCTTCTTGCCTAATCCGTTTTTAAAACGGATCGAGGATGGGGCGGTGTCATACCCCAAAATTTTCCCTATCTTATCATTTTTTTTTCATATGACCTTTTGACCATAAGTTCATTTGCATATTCATACCACATGCATTCATTTACAATTGTGTTTTCCAATAAACATCATTGGTTTAAGGATTTTGCTAATAATGATAAAAATGTGATGTTGGCACAAGAGTGATGGTTGGTTCATTCCTTATGAATCAAATTTGTGGAACTCTAATATTTGGTATATGCTTGTTTGCGGTTATGCTGACTACATTTTGGCATTATATTTTAAGGTTAATTGGGGATTATCTTGGCCTTTGATTTTTTTATCCACGGCACAACACTTCATTCAGAGTCAATTCAAAGAAATCAAGATTCATTCCTTTAAATTCAAGATTCATTCAAGTACAAGTTCAAATATTCAAACCAAGCTTTGGAAGAAAACTATTTTTCTCAAAAGACATGACATCATTTATTTCATAGGGCCATGTCAGTACAAAAACATCCAACATAAAAAGTCCAAAACCAAAAATTGCACAAAATTACATCATTTATGCCAAGAGTTGACTTTGGTCAACTGTTGACTTTTTGGTCAAACAATTGACCAAAGTCAACCACTACTCCTAAACACTAATCTCAGTTTTCTTCATTTACAAGTCATCTCATATCGTTGTGTTTCTCCAAAGCTTGAAAGTGTCCAAATTGTTCCATGAAGGAACTTTGAGTCATGGATATTGAGTTTCATACCCCCTTGACAAATGTCAAGTCTTTGCCACACTAATCCTGCAAATCACATACACAATGAGAAAAAGCAAAATCCTTATGCTTCATACACATGCCACTGTATCAAATCTTATGTCCCGATTTATTTAATTAATTTTTTGTAATTAAATTGTGTGATAGTATGTGTTGATTGGTATTTTAATGTGTTAGAGGAACCCTTGAGTGTATGGTAGTAGCCTAGGATAGTAGACTTTAAGGTGTTATGGGTATATGTGAGTAAAAGTGTAGAGACATGGGGGTGGTGGGAGACTGTCATTGATACTATTATTTAATTAGAACTATTTGAAGAAAATAAAAGAAATAATAATAATTAAATAATTATTTTAAGTATTATTGTTATAATAATATGATAAAATAAATGTTTATTTTATTTAACTTGGAACAAGGTGTAATTAGAGCACAATAATATATTAGAAAAAGAAAAGAAAGGAAATAGGAAGAACTGTCATATGCGTGAAATTGAGAAAATGTTGAGAAAGAGGAGAAAGAGGTTAGGGCTTTAAGGTAAGGGTGATATGTTCTTTCGCATAGGGTTTTACATGATAACATGTGGGTGTGTCTAATCTTTCCTAATTGAATTATTTATCTATATGCTTGAACATGGTAGCTTATATGAGTATGCTATTGTAGTGTATGTTCCTCCTTGATTGA